ATTAAATATGTTGCGCATTCATTCCATCGTTTGTTAACATATAAAACCGGAAACAATAATTCATTATTACCACATAACATATCATTTTGTGTTCGTAAATGTTGAAATATTTCTATTATAATTTCATTTGGAAGATTTATATCAGACCTTTTTAGTGGTTTCCTTTTTACTGTCTGTGAAACAGGATACTCTCTATCTAACTTTGTATTCTGCTCTTTATCTTGTATTTTTCCAAAATCTAATAAACTATTTGTAGTGCAAAGCTCTTTTTCTTCGAAAATACTCAAATTTGGAATTTCTGGATATGACGGTTTCCATGTAACTGATATACAATTTTTTACTTCACAAACTCCTCTTTTCTCGAATTTTAGCTCACCCATTTCTATTCCCGTTTTAAGTTCTACTTTTCCAGCTATAATAAAGCCATCTGTATGTATATGTTTTACTTGATCTCCTAGAGGCTGCACAAATTTTTGGTGGTTTATCTTATTCTCGTGGAGGGTACGTAAAAATAATATTTTTAATTAATAAAAAATAATAAAATAATAATTTTTTTCAAAAAAAAAAAAAAAATAGTCAAGGTGAAAAGGTCGAACGACTTTATCGTGAAGTACGTGCATATGCCATTCCAGCTGGTTCAGAGGAAATTATGCTTGATCTTGGTGTTAGACAATCTTTAAAAGTCGCACAATTATATGGTGCCAAACTTTAGATATTTGATTAGCTGGTTGATTAATTAACTATTCAATTGATAAAGAATTATTTAATTTTTTTTTTTTGGATTAAAAAATAAAATAAAATAATTTAATTTTTTTTTTTTGAATTAAAAAATAAAATAATTTAATTTTATTAGATTACTGACATATATAATTTTATTTAATAAAATATTATTATTATACGAAATTTCAGTTTCCCGTAAAAAATTTTTATTTTCAATGCTTATTATTATTATTATTATTATTATTATTATTATTATTATTATTATTATTATTATTATTATTATTATTATTATTATT